CTACTGTGAATTAGTCCTGAGTATCTGAAGCTGTGCACTCAGCAAATAAGGAAAACACAGGAAATATATTCCACCTATAAAACTTTTGCATGAATCACATGAGGAATCTGAGGGACAAAATCAGAATAGATGAGCAGTCACTTCTACTGCTATGATTCCAAAAGAATCCTTTTCTATCGTAATGTACAGCTGTTTTCATGAAGAGGGGTTCCTGTTTCCCTATTCTGGTTTCATTTATGGCAGCTTCTCACTTTTTCATGATATTCCAGAAGACGACAGCCTTTTATGTTAAAGTAACACAGCTTTTTCCCTGAGAAGCCCCCATGCCCAGCAAAGTGGTAATGCTGTAAAAAGAGAGAGTGACAGTGTATTTTAAGACTGATTCATAACATGAAAAGAGACACTTAAGGCTAGCAAGGAAAGCTTAATTCTGTTCATTTCTGATCTCTCAGTTGAATGCACAATGTTCAGATTTATTTTGGTGCTAATTTTTAGTATACAGGTTTTTTTAACCTTTTTTTTTTTTTCTAACCAAACAGGATTTCTTCTCTGTAGAACAACACTGTTGCTCAGGGTGACCCCTTAGCATAGCTGGCATCTTGTGATTCACAGCATCGCCTTCTATAAGTTGAGACTTACAGACTGTAGCAGGGGCTACAGCAATGGTAGTTACAGAGCTCCATATGAACCCACCCCAGGAGTGCACATGACATTCTATCAGTAGATTTTACAGGTGTTTGTGTTGCAGCCATAAAATCCTGAGGCAGATATTGAGGACAGTTTGTGCTGGTAGTGTCTTTCTCCTTCTAGTATACTGGTTGTGATCCTACATCTTCATTTATATAAGTCTATCAAGACCTATTCAACAAAATAATTGGAAATCATTCTTAAAATTAGCTAAATGATACCTAAATGTTCCTAAAATTAATTTTGAAATTGATGAGATTTTAAATTCTGAACCATTTTTTTCTTTCAACTGTTTTAAAGTTTTAAGATTTGGAAGACTACTGGTATGGAAAATTTCCCAGTTTTAATAGAAAATTTGACAACTTTTTAAGAAGGATAAAAACAGTCTTAGAATAGAAACTATGGAACTGCCTCAACTTCAGAATTTTGGAGGAGACGAAGGATGGACTGTTCTCATTGCCTTATTTTCTTATGTTATTACTCATATCCCTTTGATTAAAAAAAATAAACAAACAAACAAACAAACAAACAAAAAAAAAAAAAAAAAAAAAAAAAAAGAAAAGAAAAGAAAAGAAAAATTTTTAGCCTGATAACCGTGGGCTTTTTTTTTGTTATTGCTGGGGTTTTTTTCTGGGGTGGTAATAGGTTGGGGTTTTTTTGTAATAGATTCTATTTACACGTGGTCATATTCTATATTTGGCTACTTCATGGTTTTCATCCTATTTTGCAACTTGATTTCCTTTCAAGGAATGTACTACTTTTTCCCTGGGATGCATTTAATAACTACACAGAGAGGCTGTCTGTGAATGGGCAAGTATTTGACAGCTATAGTCACTGTACTCTGTTTCTTAGTAGCCTGTTGAAACTCTAATGACTGATCTAATAAGCCAGAAGTATTAGAAGGTCAGAGAGAACAACATTGCTCAGTTTGACCTTCCATTATTTATGGTTTGTCACATCAGCTATCAAAGCTCAAGGCAGAAGCTGATAAGGAGCTGAATCAGCAGCACAGGCATGACACTGCAACATTCTCGCTTCGTGTGAATAGCGACCCTTCCTTGTGGTGACCTGTGCAACCACCCATGACACATGTCCCTTAAGGTGGTCCCTGCCTGTTCACTATTTTATGTAGAATCCCTTTGTAAAGTTCAGGATTAACAATATGGTTGGCACTCAACTTTTGTTTTCCTTTCCCTAAAAGGTCCAGATTCCCAAATAATCTTTGGATTCAAAGGCTCCTCTTTTTATAGCAGTTCTATTTTCACACTGATCAGACCACAATTTAGTCATTAGATAAATTATGTGGTTTAAAAAAAAAAAACACAAACCCAGTCTAAAACTCAGAAGTAATTGGATCTTCTCTATCTGAGAGAGAGGGACCTCACCCCAGCAGCAAAATTGCTTGATAGACCAAAGACTGAGCCGTAGTTCTAAGATCACCTCCCATCTGCATTTTAACATAGAGAAAAGTGGACCAGATTAGGGTTGGAGCAAGTTCTTTACAGTCTTCAGTATGTTAGATTCTCAGTGGGATCACAAAGACAGCAAGAGGACAGCTACTGGCATAGCTCCCATAGGCCGTGGAATAGCACAGATGCTAAAGTGCCTGAGAAGACAGCATACACACTCTGTAATTGAAACCGAACATGGATGAGAGACAACCATCCAAGTATCAGGTGTTTGAATGTTGCTCACGTGTATGTAGATCAGGGTAACCACGTTAACAGATGTTTTCTTTGTTACAATATTTTTTATACTGCCGTGACGCAAATGTGAATGCTATTTTATTGGATTCTGATGTAATCAATGATAATGTTGCTCCTTCAAGAGTGAGAGCAAGATTTTCTGGAAGCTGACAAAGTGACAGTCTTGATCAGGTCATTAAAGGCTACAAATTTGTCTTTGTCTATTTCACATAATTTAACAAATCATGAAAACATAACTTTGAAGGTTGCCAATCCAAAGCATAATCTACATGTCATAAGTAATAAGGAGTTTAACTGTGATTCCTTTTCATAAGATCAAGACAAATGCTCTGAGTTGCTTCAGTGTCTGTATACTCATTAAATTCTTCCTAAGCTTATTAACTTTAAGGATCTGCTTCCTCAAAAAGATTTGGAGGAGGGACTCAGCCAAAACATCCCCAAGGCTAGTTACAATGTTTATAACTCTTGCAATTTTATTGTGTTTTCCACAAACTATAGACCCCAGAACAAAACGCTCTTTCAAAATTCACAGCTCCCACTAAAAATGCACACGACAAAAACAAATTCAATTCTACACTGTTTCCCCCAAAAAGGCTTAAAATGAAGGTACACCGCAAACTCATAAACCCGAAAGAAAATTCAAAATACTTAATCTGTATCATCTTGTGAGAAGGCCATGCAGAATTGGCAATGGTCTGTTTGCTTTCTGTTACAAAGTCCGGGAAAACTCCTATACACAGTGATCTGGAGAAAACTCACTGGGATATTCCTATTGGAAAATGCAATTTACAGGCCAGGGTTGGCTCAGTTTACTTTCTAAATAAGACAGTTGACAGGACTGTCTTTTCTGAGCAATGAGAGAAGGCCAACAACTAATTCAGGTACATGTTGTTTCCTCCAGCAGACACACGCAGGAAGATACCTTTGGGCAGTCTAGTAACTCCTTTAGACAACAGGCCTTTTGGCTAAAAACTTCCCTCCTGTTCTGAGTATCAGAATCCAACACTACGGAAACAGAGACCTGAGGAGGCACCAAATCAATTGCTGTCTCCAAAAATCTGGGGACCTAGATGGAGATGAGTATGTCACTCCACACAGGACAGGGACAAATTTGGTACATGCTTGAAAATAAACAGAGGAAATGGAAGGTATAGTTTTAATTTCTGATCCAGAGAGACTAGAGGGAAAATAAGATCTCATTGTTCATGATTCTCTTCGTTAGTGCAGGAGATTTTCCTGTTTCTGGGAGGTTTCTTTTCTCAGCTGGTCTAGCCATGGACCCAAGATGGTTCTTCTATCTGTAAATAGCAATAGCAACTTTTTATTTGGTCTTTTTGTATGCAAACTTGGGTATCATTTTTGGAATTGCTGGTGACACTTTAACGTCTCCCCTAAATATGATCTGATATGGTCTAGTAAGGTCTCATTGTTCTGGCACTTGAGATTAGACTGGCATTTCTGTGGAAAATGTAATTAATTTATTTTTTTTAGAAAACCTTGAATCAAGACCAGCCTTGCTAAGAAACTGTCTCCTTTCTGCTCCTGTTCTTCTAAGATCAGCAGATAAACAGTAGGTAGAGCTCTGGGATCTAAACAGTAGGTAATAGTGTGATTGATCTGTTGAGCTGTTCTTTCAGTGGCAGCATAAATGTAAGCCAAATCAAAATCACCATGTTATCACAGCCTGAACTGACACTAGGTGTATGACAGGCAGCCTGACAGCCTAACTTCAGACTGTGGATTCCACTGGACAGCTGAACTGGGTTTCACAAAGCCTAAATCCCTCTGTGCATTTTGCATTTCAAGCTTTCCCCAAATCTCGGGACTGTGAAGCTCAAATTGTAGGTCACAGAGGTGTATGCTTCGCACAATTGCTGCTGGATGGGACTCTGAGGTTTATCACCATAACTCCTACTTGTGATTCTAAGAAAAGCAATACACAATCTACTGTCAACTGCTAATTTGCCTACTATTAGAAGAAGACTGTACTTGAATTTCTGTTCTGGGTTTGCTTTTTTTTTTTTTGGTTTTGACTAATTTAATGGATATAAAACTGAAGGTAATGAGGTTAAATATTTATTTTATGAGATAACACATTCTTCCCAGCCTCTTCCATCCCCTTCTTTTCCTCCTCCATCCCTTCCCTCTCTCCTCTGCTCCATACAGACTTATGTCAAAAGATGCCACTTTAGAGCTTGCAAGGAATAAGCTAATTTACATCCCTCATTTTCATCTTCCTCCAGCACTTAGCAGTTGTCATATAATTTCCAACCTGTGAGAATAAATATTTTCTGCTTTATGCTCATGTGTACATCTGCAAATTTACATGCCCATGGGCCCCATGCCTAGGTATAAAGTATTGGTAACCACTTTGATTACAATTAAATGTGTTTTATTAACAAAGGCAGACTAATCAGATATTTAAAACAAAACAAAACAAACACACACATAAGAGGATCAAAGGACACACAAAAAAGGACCAAAGAACTTTTACATTGCAAATTCTACTATTCAAGCAGTGGGAAAACAATACAATTACATGCAAGGGCTTGTAGAGACTTGCTTAATGCATTATGAACATGCTGACCAAATACACAGTCCTCCTACCTCTCTGTCCAAGAAGTATCTGAAAGGAAGAAGACAGCTGTAGTCTTCCTGATTTTGGGCCATCAAAGAGAATGGAATGACAGATGTTGAGCTATTCTTTCAGTGCAGGAGGGAACTCCTCTCTGTCAAACAAAGAAGATTGACAGTCTCAGAGCCCAGTTTATTTGTATAAAAAGCCAGCTGTTTCTTTAACAGTTGAAAGCAGTATTCCTAGCATAGCATAAAGTAGATGAACAAATTAATAACTACTAACATGATGTTATCTGTTGAATGATTCTGTGGAAACAGTAATTCCACAAAAATGTAGCATAGACATAATGTCACTTTTCCCCATGGAATGAAATATGTCTTTACTACAGAACATACCAGATTCCTAAATTCATTCTTGAAGCTGTCCCCAAGTTTGTGCAAGATCTAATTAATGCTTACTGCTATCATATATAAAACACTGACTGCATCCTAATAAAAAACAATTTTAAGCTTTCTGCTATGAGTGATTTTTTTTCTTCAGAGTAAATAGATATCTAATTACAAACGAATGGACATTAACCATTTCAGAAAATCCATTAGTATTCAATATCTCTTTTATCTACTTTTAATATAGCATGACACAAACTGATGTTAAAGGGTCATTCTTTACAGTACTATTCAATTTTTCATTAGCCAAGAACATCTAAGGAAAAAAAGTAGTTTATGCCAAAAAGTCAATTTTGAATTGCAGTATCTGAAAAATACAGAGTCTACATACAAAGTAGAGTCCAATTACACACCTTTCCTAGTCACTAAAACTGCCAATTCCTTCTAATTAACTATCATCACGCTGAACTCTACCCAAACAAGGGGAGGCACGAGATTTACTGGAATCTACCCGTGTAAACTTTGCTTGCTTTACTTTGAAAAAATTGCGGTTTGGGTTTGTCGGCGACGACAACGTCGCTCGGCTCCCCTCTGCGCCGCTCGGGCTGGCGGCGAGGGCGACCCCCGTCCCTCCTAGCGCGGCCGCCCCTGCCAGCGCCGCTCCCGCGGCGAGGGCGGAGCGGGGCGGGAGCGGGCGGAGGGGTGGGACGGGGGGCGGAGGGGGGCCGGGCAGGGTGGGCCGCGCCCGCCCGCGCCTTTTGTGCGGCGCCCTCCCAGCCTGTCAGCGCGGGGACGGGTGTGATTGCGGGGGAGGGCCGCTGCTGGGGGTGCGTGTGAGTGCACGGGGCAGCGCACCGGGGTCTGTGTGAGCGCGGGCTCGGGATGCCCTCATGCCCCTCCTGGGGACTCAGGCAGCAGGTTGTTGTGGAGGGGTTCGACACACAGGGGTGCTCACTTTATACATAGTGATGGGTCAGGACTTTACACAGAGGTGCGTCACTGTGACTTGGAAGAGGAGGCTGTGGGTCGGGCAGGTCACGCCTGCGGTCTGTCCAGGCTCTCCCCCTGAACATAGAGGAGTCCCTCCGACAGGAATAGGGATGTTTCTTCTTTACATGCTTAGGTACAGCCATTTCAGCTTGATCCAAGTATTTATTTCAGTGCTGTTTCCAGCCCAGGGACACCCCTTTCCCCCACAGTGGCAAAAGTCTGTACTTGCATCATTACTATTTTTTATGCCCCCCTGTGAAACAGGCAACTATGGTAAACTTCAGCTGCGACTGTACTCAGTGCTTGAAGAACAATTTTACATTTGCACAATAGTGAGCTCTTCTTTCAGAAGAGCAATGAGTTTTACTACCAGATGCGTCACTCTGAACTATTACCTCATAGCTTTTGTACAGAGCAGTTGCTGGACAATTAGCTAAACACCACAGGAGCAACAGCGTTGGCTTCTCCTTGTGCAGACATCAGTGCTCTGTGGCCATTGGATCTAAAATGTCAGTCTGCATGTTCTCTTTGGAGCTGGACTCATGGACTGCACTGTTGTCACCACTTCGGCCGCTTCAAGAGGCCATACTGCACCTTGGTCAGCAGAACTCTTCCCCTTCACTTCCAGATGCATGTTTTTCTTGGGTTAATTATGGCAGTGACACTGAATCCAAATGTCAGTTGAAGGCATTCAGAGCTTCCTGCTGGCTTAAACAAAACTTGCCTGTCCAGAGTTGCCAGGTATACAGGACACCCTCTTACAAATGTAAGAAATCGTAAGGTATAGGGCAGAGATTCCTACCCAAAGAGAAACAGACCCATGTTTTGCATCCTAATGGAGGCTGACCCTTCTGAGAAACTGTCTGGTGCCTCAGGCCAACATGACTGAAAAAAAAAATAAAGTAGACCCAATCACCTGGACAGGACAGACATGATACTTTAGACTGCTTCAACATGAAACCTCAAGATCTTCTCCAGCTCATTGCACAGCTCCTGAAATGTCTTTTTAGTTCTCGGTAGGGTTATTCTCTTCCATCATTTCACACGTGTCAGGAACGCAGAGATGTTTGTGTTCAAGAAGGATAAAATCAGTGAAAAATTTATCCACTGTATGAGCAGATTGAGCTTAAGGAGAACATCACACAGGGTAAATGTCCTGGACAGTTGCATGCAGAGAAAGATATCAAATGGGAGAAAAACACTTTGCCAACACTAGCTGCGTTCCCCTCAAGCACAATTCCAGTGGTCACTTGCCTGTTCCCCAAGCAATAGGGAAAAAAGGGAAACTGTTAATGAAAACATCAAATATCATATTTCTGTTCCAAGAGTACTGTACGCAACCCAGTGAATCCACACGTACCAAGCTGGCATGAAAAAGTGAAGCCCTTCAGATTTTTTAGGATTTGGCAGGTACTAGGTGTATTCTTGAAGATGTGAGCAGAAGTCTCCTACGATGGAAAGAAAAACCTGTCATGGAGAAGGAGATGTTCCTAGTCTATCTCTTCAGGGGTGGATTTTTGGTGAATGTAGAGGTAAACGGCAAGAACTTGCCAAGGTGATCTGGATCCCCGGGAACGGGGGGCAGGATCCGTCCCTCCCACTACAAAAGTAACCCAGACCACGAGGAGCAAAGAAACCTCACGAGGCACTATCTCTCCCTCCGGGCTAAGCCAGCCCTGGCCGGCGGCACCCCGGGAGCGCTCCAGGGAAAGAGATGCCTTTCCTTCGCCGGTACGCGGGAACAACGGGACTGGGGAAGCCTTCGCTTCTCACACCTCGCATTTGCGTTCGCCTCGGCCATTGCGTCCTTAAATATATATACACATATACACATACATACCACTCGGCTTCCCTGCATTGCCTTTGGAGATGTTTACCCAGGGAGACGGCATTGCGGCAGCACTTTATTACAATACAATGCACTGGGGGAAAAAATAGAAAGGGGCTCATTATTGTGGTTGATAAACATCGGAAAAGCACACGCCTGACCTTTCATTTGTACAATTAATTGTTCCAGCAGAAAGAAAATGAGTCTTAATTGTGCGCAGCTTCCTAGAGAATCAGCTGTGTGTTCCCCTCCGCGCTCAGGGAAAAACGCTGAGAAGTTTTCTTGAAAGCTTTTACTTTCCAGTAGGACAGGAAGAAGAAAGGAAGATTGTTATATCCCACCCCTCTTCTCTCTCAAAGAGAAAGGATATTGAACTATAGTCCTATTTCAGTGACCTGCAACATTTCCTTCAGTTTTGTAAAACGGACTTTTCTGCATTTCCAGTGCTATGTCGCACCACAATAAGGAAATATTATATAATGCACAACCAAATTCCATTTCAGAGATCAAGGGTTAGCCCAGAGCTGCACCTTAAACCCGAGCTCGGAATTTGGCTGTCAAATCACGTCGATAGCAGCGCGTGGGTGGTCAGGGTTAGGAACGGGACTTCCCAAGCCCTGCTGTGCTGGTGTTCAAATGGTGTATGTGCTGCTTGCGGGCTCCGAGGGGGCTGCTTACTGTGTCCTCACGCAGGACCCTCGGCATGCAAAGCCTCGCTGGGGAGACAAGCCTCTTTGATCAGTGGCTGGGGACATCACCCACGGGGAGAGGAAGGACGGAGCGCCGGGGGCGGGGGGGGGGGGGGGGGGGGGGGAGGGGCGCGCCCAGGACTCCCCCGCCGCGCCGTGGGGCGGGCCGCAGGATGGACCGAATTCCTCTCACAGCGCTGACAGTCCTCCGCGGGGCTGAAGTCGGCGGGAAACTGAAGTTTTGCTGCTTTAAGAACCGCCAGAAAAATCCTTTTGTCTGTCCCTGGTTGATGATTAATAACCGCCGGCACCGATCCCGCCCTCGGCATCACCCCCGGGGGAGCCGCGGGGCTCAGTCCGCCCGGTGGGAAGGGATCAGGCCCTTCCCTGGGCGCGGGTGAGATCCTGCCTCGAGAGCGTGACCATCCTAAACTCACAGCTTACCGATACCGATTTTTAATCTCTAAATCACACTGGGACACATTCTGTGCTCCTTAATAGAGCACAACGCCCATTGACTTCTGTCCCATTGACTTCAGTGGGATTTTCGCTCCATTAAGGACCGCAGAATTTGGCCTAAACTGACCGCAATAATTTTGCTGCCGGTAATGGAGCTTCAAAGTCGTCTCTAATTAGCCGACTAGCAAGAATCGTTAAACATGCTGTACAATTCCGTGTGTGCTTCAGGGGGGCTGCGGAACAGCTGAGCAGACCCCTTCAGACCTGGAGAAGCTTATAAACCGTGTTCAGAGAAAATTTCAACCTCCCGGAGACAACTTGGGCACAAGGGTGTCTGACGAGCCCCTTCCTGTCTGCTGCGTTAGTGTCGAAGAGGGAGAAAAAAAAAACGTTCTGAAAAGTTATGGAAGATCTGATCATATACTCACTCAGCTTTTGCCCCCTTCAAAGGAGGCATTTAAAGGATTACAGTATACCCTGCTGCTCCTATTTATCAAAGATAAACCCAATTAGTTGTCTTTATCCTTAGCCTGGAGCACTCCTAACAAGTTGCATTAAATCCTGAACTGCCTCCGAGCAATGACCAGCTGTAGTTCGAGCTGGGATGATCTTCACTACGATCTCGCACGTTCACGTCTAGTTTTATGACTAGCAGTTTTCCCAATACGGGCGTGTGTGTGTGCGTGTGTTAGTGAAGGGAAACGCAACGGAAACAGATTCAATCCACTTCAGTTGAATTCTGCTGTAAAGGCACTTTCATTACACGATGGTCCGGCCATTGGTGGGCACAGTCTCCTTCCTCAATTCCTCCGCTGTATCAACCGCTGTAGATCCAGCAGATTGAACAAGTATTTAGCAAAAAGTGTTATTTAATAACCTTATTCATATACACGTACATTTAAATCCTTGCAAACTGTCCAATGCCTGTAAATTTTAATTTAGAAAAAAAAAATTTCCTCTTCAGATCAAATATTGAAGCAGTGAGAATGGAGCAAAGGCTTAAGATCCTTCGAGGTGAAAAGCAGAAAGAAGAAAATAATTGTTGTTAAACAGCATCCATTTTTAAGGCGATTCATAAAATTTTCTCGAGGAACTAACCCATACGAGAAAAAAACCCACCCGAAATCTCTAGGCATGCCCAGTATATTAGTCATCTGTGTTTTAAAAAAAAGGGGTTCGAAAGTTTTGGTCAGTATTCTAGGCAAAATATGCTCAACAGATGAGAGTGGAGATGCAGCCAGAAAACAACTCCAGCTATTTAAACTGCCAAATGAGACATAAAGCAGCATTGTAAAAATCATCTGGAAAACAGGTTTTTCTATTGAAGTCGCTATGTGTTAATTACTGTGATCTGGAAGAGCTCTGTATCTAAATGCTTGGAAGCCGACTTTCACCCGCATATGTAAATGAAGAAAGTGCTGAATCTAAGCCAGAGGGTTCATGTTCGGATTCATTTCCGTGCATGCCTAGACATTAATATGTGTTCATGTAGGGTTCGTACAGTACGAGGTGTTATTTCCTTATAAAGAAACACCAGGTCTCGCTTTCCATTCTCCTTACAAAATTATTCGCATTATTTATGCTACATTGAGCGATCTAATTTCTTCGTGATAGTCAGCTAATTGCTCTGGCAGGTAATTAGAAGCGGTTTACAACGCAAAGGGCTTTTGCGGTGGCCCTCGGATTATTAAGTTGCTCTGTAAATTATACCATATTTGCCGAAGAGAGGGAGGGGGAAGGGGCTTTTGAGAAGTTCTTCTGCGATCAGAGCTGAAACACGTCCCCGTCCACCCCCCAACACTTAAAAAAATCGGGGGATGGGGCTCTTCCAGGGCTCAGAGTCGAATTATTCTCAAGCACGCGATCTGAAGCCCATTTTGTTCGTGCTCACTGGTCCAGAATAACTTGGCCATAATGGCCGGGAATGGGCCAGGTCTGCAGCAAGCTTCCTGCGCCCTGGCAGCATCCAGCAGGCATGTGGGAAAAGAATGGCTTAAATGGGGACATCTGTTCAGTGTTGCTCATCTCGCTCCTGCAGCCAGGTCGGGTTAAGAGAATAACCTGTTCGCCACCTTGCCTCCCTCCCGCTGTTCGTCTGCCCACCCCCTCGAAGTTAATAAGGCTGCTGGGCATGGGGGAAGGGCGCGAGAGGGGTGACCTAATTGCTTTGCCATATAGGCAAATAACGACAGGGAAAGGTGGCAGCTACATTGTAAGAGGAATAGTAAATATATCAACATTGGGTCTCTCGAGTCAAATCGGAGAAGTTCTGCATTCAGGAGGAGTCTGTGGTGCACACTGCGTGCGTGAACGGATGTGGGCAAAACCTTCCTGGCATAGTGCTTCGAAGGTACGTCTTTCCCGGAGGACCAGGGGTTCTTCCACTCCGCAAACGGCAGAAAGCAAAGATTTTTCAATTTTGTTTTTCCAGAGTGACAGTTTTGTGCAGTTGGGAGAACAAATACATGCATACATACATGCATACACGCGTGGAAAGCTTTCCCTTTCTTCTCTGTTCTTTGCAGACTGCGATTTTGGGTGCATTAGGGTTTGTATATGCAAGTGTCTAGCACACACACATTTATATATCGCACATATACACAGGCGCCCATGCATGTGTGTGTATATGTGCATATATATGTATGTATATATATATATGTTTATATATAAATAGCATGTTATACGGGGCATGACCCAGCTTCAGACAGCCTATCTAATGGGAACGTCCTGTTTTGCACACCGATTTCTCAAACGTTTACTATATCTTTTCACCCGCTTGTAAAGCTTGTACTACGATTTGAACACGTGTGGTTAAACCGTCGGACTCAGAGCAGCTCCTAGATTATTTGTAATTAAACGCAATTCCCAAAGTAACATTTATCTTCCCGAAACTGCGATTGCAATTGTCAACCGTCTGGAGGAGACGCGGGGTAATCTGGAAGCATTACCTCCTTTCCTAACGGAGCAGAATGAAAAGAAATCAATACCGCTGAGGAGAAGAATTTAGTAGTTTTTAACTATAAGTGGTGCCTGGGAGAAGGTGATATATAATAGGAAAAAAACAGAAAGCAGCTTAAACAAATCTATTCTAGGTAAGACCACAGGACCGGCGACGGGGGCTCCGCGCTCTGCCCCGCCCGGTGCCGGCGCGCCCAGCTCGGGCGCTCGCTCTCCCCTCCGGCGTCTCCCGGTACTTACATGACCGCCTAGGAGCCGCCGATGCGTGCACAGCGATAACGTACCGGGGGAGCGCGGGGGATGGTGGGGGGAAGGGGGCAGAGAAAAAACGGGGAGAAGAAGGAGGAGATGCGGATCGTATCTGGGCGCACACCCGCGATGTAAACAGGATGGGTGTGAAGGTGCCTCTTCCTTTCCCTCCCCAGGCACGCAGACACCAACATGTGCACGGTGTCTTCCTGGGCTAATCTAATTACAGAGACCTTTCGGAGGCGCAACCAGCTTTTTTTTTTTTTTTTTTTTTTTCTTTAACACACATCCAGACAAATAAATAAATAAACGCCGAAAGACATTGATGCGAATGCGCCGGCTGCGAGCCGGCAGGTCGGCGTGTTTCCTCGCCAAAGTGGCTCAGCGAGAAGCCCGGGCTCTGCCGGGCACCTCCCCGCCGGCTTAGCGGGAGAGCAGCCAGGCCGCGCAAGGCTGGAGAGCGCGGAGCAGGCAGGGGGACGGGGACCACGGTAGGGTTGGCGGGTACCTCGAACAGACACATTTGTACCGATGGAAGAGATAACGCCGGTAACCTACGTGGCAATAGATGCAGGTACCGGCGTATGTGCACTGTCCGCTGCCGCCGAGCTGCACCAGGTGCCCGACAGCGAGCTCCGGTCTCAGCGAAACTGCCCAGTGAGGCAGTGACAGAATCGTCCCAGGTAAAGCACAGCAATGCAGAGGTGAGGATGGAAGTTAAAGAACGACATTAACCACCCCTTTTGCTCAGTGACCGCTCTCGGCACAGCACGGTCAGTTCTGGCTGGTGACTGTTTTGTTTCATTTACGTGCTATTCCCCTTTCTCCGCTCCCTGTCCAAGCCGAGCCCTCCTGCGCCTGTCACCCCTCGGTAAATCTTCCAGGTGACAGATTCCAGGTGAAGGTGGCGGGGGAAGGGAACACCTCCTGGCCCTCACCTACCCAGGGCAGCAGGTGAGGGGTGATGAGGGAAACACGGGGGGAACGCGAAGTCTTCCAGCGCAGGGAGCTCGGGGAGGGCAAGGACAAGGCCCCCGCCCAGGGGCTTTTCCCCGAGACCATGGGAGCAGAGCTAGGAGCCGCTGGACGCAGAGGAGCCGAGGCTTCCTCCTCACTGGACGCTTGAGAGACAGCGGAGAGCAGCTGCACCACCGAGAAGGCGACGGGAGACCGCGGCTCCCACCCGTGTGCCTCTAAATTTGCGCAAGGGTGGTGTGAAGCGCGTTCCCTCTCTAACATGGACATCCAACACACGGCGTGGTCAGCATGCAGTTTAATCTTTCTAGCTGTGCCTTTTCAAATGGCACAGACCTCTGTTTCCTCCGAGAGAAATCTCCCCCTACTCCCTGGTAGCGCTGTCTGTAGACAGGTGAGGACCCCTAGTACAGGGGTCGATCCATCTCTGTCCACTTGCCGGTAGCAGCGCGTAGAGTCAGGGTTTTGCTCCGAGAAAAATCCTCCCCACTCCCCGAAAGGTTAGTGACAGCTATCCTTGTGGCTAAAGTTCCGAGATTGCTAATGTACATTGTAGACACAAGATGTTAGTTAGACTTGAGCAAGTTTTTCCCAGGATGTAAATTAGGTCCCAAAAGCTGTTGTCCAAATCGAAGAAACAGAGAAATTAATCTGGGAGACTATCCATCATAGGCTGTAATAAAGGGAGCGACATGGATGAGACAGATGATATGATTAAGGAGCTGTGGTCGTTTTAATTAACTTTTTGCTGTCCTGTAATGATCAAACTGGTCAACAGACCCGGTCAATAAGCATGTTAATATCAAACAAATAAAACCAGGGATGATTAAAAACCTCCTGGTTTATTAAATTTGAAATTCAAATGAAATTTATGCTGCAGATGCATACAGAATGCTAATAGATTTTAGCTTTATTGAGAGTGGATCCCACAGGTTTTCAAGAAACGGCACGAACATTTATCTACTCCCGTACATCAAACTTCAAATGGGGGGAAAAAAAAAGTTTTAATTAATTTCGGGAAAACCTCTCTTGTCCCCCCCTCCACCCCTCCCTCCCGTCCCCACCTGCATATTATGTTGATGTACTGCACCCTTAAGTGCAGTGGTCAATAAGGCAAATGCAAACAAAATTGTAAGCTTCCTTAAATCCTTTGCCCAGCAGGCAATGTATACAAAGGGGGAAGGTTACAGATGTTTCGATGGTGAATTCAGGAAAGATCAGCTCATCGTTCTGAAAGTTCAGAAACTGCTGCTTTTTCACTTTCAGGGAAATTGTCAGAGTAGCAGGAGGATGCCCACTGGCAGGAGTTTTGTGATTTCTGCTCTATGCATTTGCCTTTTTTTCCCTCCCTCTCAGTTGAGTTTCCTTGTAAAGACTCCCACGACTATTTTTACAACGAGTTTTTCATCATTTCCAAGACGGTGCTTTTAAAGGAAAAGCACACTGAAAATTAAGGATTTTTGACCTCAAATGAAAAGAGTCAGGGCAAGCATCGGAACAAACAAACACGAAGAAGACCAAGAAAAGACACGTTTCCTCTGGGCAGACAAGTGTAGACAAAGTACGTATGCAAATGGAAGACCCACCCGACGAAGCTCTCCTAAAAAGAGATATATCACTAACGTCTTCTCCTTCCCCGGTGGATGGTAAAGTCTCTCAGACTTTCTGGGGCTGAAAAGAATGCGTGTCGATCTTTTTACCAAACCTGGCACACCACAAAATGCGATTTTGTGTTCCTCTAAAATGTAATGAACACGATGCTTGTTTTGCTCTTACGCTTTCTGATCTATGTCTTAATAGTTCTTCTCCATCCCAACAGATAAAGAAAGTGGAGACTAAAAGTTAATAAGTATTCATACAAGGGAGTATCTCCGGGAAATGTTCTTCCCCTCTTCGCGGGTGATAGTATTGATTAAATTAAACCCGAAATTTACACAAGTGTGCGTTAGGTCTGTAAAATGAATATCATTATAGAAGGAGAGCAAAGCAATGAAGTTAATTCTTTTTTATTTGTTAAACGGAGTTCCCTCCTTCCCCCACCCATTCCTCCTTCTGGGCTGGCCTGTCACGCCTTCTCAACAGGCTAAAATCATTCAGAGCAGCTCGCGGGGAGAAACGCGACATTTATGGTAACCGTCAGCCTTCAGAGAAAGAAAGCAGTTCATTAATTTACTTCACTCTTACTTCAAAGTATGATAATGTACGTTACCCCCTTGATCAATAGATATGATGTACAGTCAATACTCCACGACACGGAAACGGGTCAAAACCGAGGCCGAGACAACAAGAAAAACAGCCCCTGGGAAGCTAAGCAAAGCCGCGGAAAAACAGCGGGGGTTAGAGCACCTGAGCGAGCGGGGCCGGGCCGGGGCAGCCCCCGCGGGCGGCTCCCCCAGCGAGAGCGGGAGCGGGCTCTGCCCTTCTCCGCAGCCACCTAGCGCTGTACGAGGGGCCGAGGGGAGCAAAGAGCGCACCTTCGAGGTGCTCCGGGACGAGGCGGCGGGGCCGCCCGGCAGCCAGCCCCTGATCGTGCCGGTGCCGCTCGGGCGGATTCCGGCTTCTGCGACCCCACCTCCAAGAATCACGCCTGAAAACGCGGGTCTGCGGGGGCGAGAAGGGAGCAGACGGCAGAGAGCAGTGGCCCGAAGTGTTTCCCCTCCTTGATGGGACAACGGGAGAGGAAGGACTAAGCAGAGAGGAGCGGGGCGGGGGGACCCCGTGAAGAAACGGGATGTGCTACCGCGCTCGCCAATCTTTGCCGATAATCATAGTAAGACTGAGATGATGATGATGACATAAAATTTAGATATAAACCGCTCCGCGGAAAAAGAAAATATAACCTGTTGTCAGATTACAGGTATGGAGGGGTGATGGAAAGGGGCGGCCGGGACGAAGCAGCCCGACCCGGGGCTAGCGGTCCCTGCGGACCGGGATTGTGGCTCGTCGCCCGACGACGCGACTGCGTGAGGTCATCAGCGCCGGCGGGGCTCGACGGAGGGGCTCGACGGCGCTGATGACCTCACGCAGTCACGCCGTGGAGCGAGGCGGCGGTGGCGGGGATTGGCTGGCGGAGGCTCAGCGGCACTTCAAAGCCGGCGAGGGAGCTACAATTGTGGTGGAATGGGCGGAACTGATCATTGTATTGCACACCTCTAAAAAAAACACTGCCTCTGATTTATCAATATAAAAAAGATCCTCTGAGAGGAGGGCACTTTTGTGTGATGGCAACTTCACTTCTAGGGGTGAGTCTAAGGATTTTTTTCTCTTGCTGGTTTAATTGGTTTCTTTTTATTGTCGATTGGAGGGGGTTAAAATAACCCCTGTCTTGACCGGGGCTATCAGTCTCCTCTATTCAGCTCTTTTTTTTTCCTTTCTTTTTTTTTTTTTTTTTTTTTTTTTTTTTTTTTTTTTTTTTTTTTTTTTTTTTTGAAACTTAAGTACAACTGAGTTTAGGAGAAAAGAAAGAGTGAGAGGGGGAAAGGGGGCAGAGTCACTTTTCAGTGAGCAGAAAAAGGTTTTAAGGGCATTTGTAGAAACAACCTACAGCGCCTGGGCTGTGCTGTTCCTGTGCCCCTGGAGAAGTGGCTTTTCTTCTTTACTTGTGACTGCTGGAAGAAAAAAAAACAAAACCAACAAACAAAAAACCCCCAAACCTAGCACTATCATTTTTCTTGTGCAATTTTTTAAATTTGCAACAGATTGTGGCTTTTTGTTTCCCTTTAAAATAACACAGCCCACCGTGTCTAGCAGGTACGTTCAACTCGTGTATACATACATATTTACATACGTTAAATTTAGATATGTATTTCATTACCGTTGGTACGTAAATTAGGCTGACTTTAAGAAAGTTCTTTTTAAAAAAGGACTAATTTGATAATCCTACAATTCTATGTTTAAGAAAACAGCCTTACTGACCTGTGGGACGGGGACTGGCCAGGTCCCGGGGAAAGGGAACAGGCTGAAACGTAGCTGCCGCCGTGCCGGGGGCATCTTTAAAGCTACGGTAACAGACGCAACTTTCCCCCCCCCTCTTTTTTCTCCCCCTTTTTTAACCCTTCCCGAGCTCCTCCGTGGGAGGGGAGTTGGATGGTGAAAAAAAGCTTGGGAAGGCGTTTGGAGGCAGAACCGCGTTGCCGGCCCCAGCGAAAGGATCCTCCCGCGGGAGTCGGGAAACTTTGCGGCCGGGGCCGGCGGAGCGAAGCGGGGCCGGGCGGCGGAGCGGTGCCGGGCGCGGGACGCGGGGCGCGGGGCGGCGGGGCCGCTCCGATCCTGACGCGGCGGGGCGGCCCTCTCCCCTCTGTGCTCGCAGGAGGAACCGCGGGTAGGCTCCACGCCTCTGGCCATGCTCGCTGCGACCTGCAACAAGATCGGCAGCCCCAGCCCCTCGCCTTCCGCCCTCTCGGACAGCGCGTCCTCCTTCGGCAAAGGCTTTCACCCCTGGAAACGCTCCTCCTCTTCGGCCTCGGCGAGTAGCTGCGGCGCCGTGGGCTCCGGCCTCCCGGGCTTCGGCGTGGCGGGCGCGGCGCGAAACGGCTCCTCGGCGGCGGCGGCGGCGGCAGCGGCAGCGGCGGCCGCCCTGGTCTCGGACTCTTTCAGCTGCGGCGGCTCGCCGGGCTCCAGCGCCTTCTCTCTCACCTCCAGCAGCGCGGCGGCCGCCAGCTCGCCCTTCGCCAACGACTACTCCGTGTTCCAAGCGCCGAGCAGCGCCGGTGGCGGCGGCGGCGGCGGAGGCGGCGGCGGAGGGGCGGCGGGACAGGAGGCGGCGGCGCACCAGCCCGTCTTCATCTCCAAGGTGCACACGTCGGTGGAGGGGCTGCAGGGCATCTACCCGCGGGTGGGCATGGCGCACCCCTACGAGTCCTGGTTCAAGCCGTCGCACCCGGGGCTCGGTGCCGGCGAGGTGGGCTCGGCGGGCGCCTCCAGCTGGTGGGACGTGGGCGCCGGCTGGATCGACGTGCAGAGCCCCAACGGGGCGGCCGCGCTGCCCGGCTCGCTGCACCCGGCGGCCGGCGGACTCCAGACCTCGCTCCACTCGCCGCTGGGCGGCTACAACTCGGATTACTCTGGCCTGGGCCACTCGGCCTTCAGTAGCGGCGCCTCCCCGCACCTCCTCAGCCCCGCCGGGCAGCACCTCATGGATGGATTTAAGCCGGTGCTGCCCGGCTCCTACCCGGACTCGGCCCCCTCGCCGCTGGCCGGCGCCGGGGGCTCCATGCTGGGCGGCGGCCCCGCCGCGCCGCTGGCCGCCTCGCCGCGCTCCTCCGCCCGCCGCTACTCGGGACGCGCCACCTGCGACTGCCCCAACTGCCAGGAGGCCGAGCGGCTGGGGCCGGCGGGGGCCAGCCTGCGCCGCAAGGGGCTGCACAGCTGCCACATCCCCGGCTGCGGAAAGGTCTATGGCAAAACCTCGCACCTGAAGGCGCACCTGCGCTGGCACACGGGCGAGCGGCCCTTCGTCTGCAACTGGCTCTTCTGCGGCAAGCGCTTCACGCGCTCCGACGAGCTGCAGCGGCACCTGCGGACCCACACGGGCGAGAAGCGCTTCGCCTGCCCCGTCTGCAACAAGCGCTTCATGCGCAGCGACCACCTCAGCAAACACGTCAAGACCCATAGCGGCCCTGGAGGCGCCGGGGGCCCCGGCGGCGGCGGCCCCGGCGGTGGTCCCGGCCCCGGCGGTAAGAAGGGCAGCGACACCGACAGCGAGCACAGCGCGGCCGGCAGCCCGCCCTGTCACTCCCCGGAGCTGCTGCCGCCCCCCGAGCCCGGCCACCGCAACGGCCTGGAGTGACGGGCGGAGGCGCGGGGCCGTCGCGCCCCTCGGCCCGCCGCCCTCCCGGCCGCGCAGCGCCCCCGGGCGCGCAGCCCTGCGGCGGGGACGCGGACACGTAAGTAGCCGCCGCGGCTCCGCAAGAACCGCTCTGAGCCTCGCGGCCGCTCCGCTGCCCGTCCAGAGCCCCGCCCGGGCCGGGCGGTGCGGCCGGGCCGCGCAACCCCCGCGACGGGGGCAGGGGAGCGTTCGGGCAAGGGGAGGGAGCCGCGACCCGCTGTGGGGCGGCCGAGCCGCCGCCTCCCTTCCCCTTCGCCTTGAGACGCCCCCGCCTCGTGTTGCTTTTAGAGAGGACCCCCCCTCCTTCTCGTTCCCTCTCGCTTTCCCGCTGGAAACCGGCCCGTCCCCTCTCCCTCAGCCATTAGAGCCGGTACAGCCGCGGCGCCCCGGCGGGGCGGGCGTGCGGGCCGGGGCTGCCCCGCGGCGGGGCCTCCGACGGCAGCGCAGTCAGCCGCGGTCCTTACCCCGGGCTGAGACTCAGACCTGCCCTCGCCTCGTTAACTGCTCGAAGCCCGTCTGCTCCTCGGGACCGGAGCGGCAGCGTGCTTATTTCCCATTCCCCTTTATTTTTTTTTCAATTTTAGAGAATCGTTTATCTCCCTGAGTCCAAATTTCACTGCGTTTGCCAGCGCATTTGTATAATTCTCGTTTGAGCAGGAATCGCGAAATACGTTGAAAATAATTAGGTTGAAAGTCGTATATTTTTTTTTAAACTCCAGACGAATGAAGAAGCATCGTGGGTTTCAAGCAAAGATGTATTTCCAATGCCAAAAAGGGAGGCTGGGGGGGAATAGGAAAATAAAATATTTGTAAAATATGTCTGAACCTATAGGTTTGTACCACTGGGGAATCGTTCTAGATTAGCTAACAATTAAATAAAACTCCACCAATGTATCGGTGTGAGGTGCAGTTGTCCAGGAGACGATTTTGTATAGTATTTTTCTTGTAAATTACTTCCAGTAAATATTTGAAAATATATTGAAGTACACTTGAGCTTTTTTTATTTTTATTTTTATTTTATTTTTTATTTCTTTTTCTGTCACAAAAAAACCATTCTTTTTGCAGTCCTGGTTCACTGCATTCTTTTACTGGACTCGTTCCTTGAAGCATATATCAAATCACACTTCAGGATATAGATTTTGCTTGAATATTAATTTAGGTAGGCATACAACTGTAATTAAGCAAACAATATTTGATAAATGTTGAATGACATTTAATTTAATGGAGCATGTACTTATTTGCATTTGCTGGCAGTTCAGGTATAGTTATGGTGAGAGTTCTCCTATATTTCATAAACTGGGTTTGCCACGACCCATGTATTAAATAAACTGTCCAAGTGAAACTGAACTAACGTTGGCCTATGTGTATTTCCTGAAAATAATATTGATAAATGTTAATAAACACTCCTGATACTACATTAGCAGTTTGCAATGCTGCAAACTAATTGTCTCATTGTAATGTTGAAATAATTTGGATATTTCACATTGAAATGAAAAGCCCTTCGCTGGAACATTTTAGATTTGCATTTTAAATGCATGAAATGTAATTGATTTTTATCTGTAATATTTTAAATGGTATTAATAAACTCCAGAAGAACATTCTACCTTAGGTCAGACAATTGTTTTTCTTCTTTGTAAGTCCATCATGACAATCAGCGATTTACTTTGAACTCATGGGGCATGAGTCGTTCCCTAGAGCTCCAGAGAAAAGTGAAAATACAACGAATGTGAATTGTAGCACCAATGAGAGCAACTTTGAGACATTAAAATGAATAAGTTGGTGTTCTCTTTCATGCCTTTTACGAAGCACTGGTAGAGGAAACTAAATGAAAGACTTTTTTTTTTTAATTATTTTTATCAGACTAATAGTACAGTGCCTCTCACAAAGCCCAGTGTATTTGAAGAGCTGCTTTGCATATATCTCCTCCTTGGAATTATTTTTCACGTCGCGTCAGAGTCATTGTGAAAGGATTTAATATTGAAATACTGAGGGTCATTATTTCTTTAAAAGACAAAATAAAAAGTGGTCCTCCGCTTTTGTTTTTAGGTCAGGTGGCTGTGGCTAGGAACAATGCTAATTGCTGTAGGTAGCGCTAACTTCTGCAGGTCTCAGGGGTGAGAAACTTCGCGGCTGTGTGTGAAAACTCCCTTCTCCTTTGGGAGTGTTTTTTCTGCCGG